GAAAAAAATTAATAATGTTAACATAATAAATGACACAAAAAGTACAGCAAATCCATTCCAATACAATATTAGACTAAATGAAATAATGTGAGCTGTCCTACGTTTGTTTCCTTATCCAAATTCTATCCTATTTTATTTAGGGGTTTTCAATTACGCTTTTTTCCACACATTTTCACCAGTTGAAAAGTTGCTTTTGCGAGTTGCTGTACATATCAGATATCTTTTTGGATCACGACCGATCCCCCGTGTTCTGCTCCGAGCTATTGGGCCGAGAGCCGCTCAACCACAGACAGACCGGCCTCCTTTCAGAAGGAGAAACGCAGCGCTTGTCCCGCCGTCGCCGCGCCTGGCGTCTGCCTCATGCATGTGTCATGTGTTTACAAGGGACTACGTGAAGTCAGCGTGGGGCTCGCGAAGTCACATGGTTCTCATTGGTGGGTGCAAAGGTTACAAATGAGTTTATCAGTGATTAGACTTCCTCATTACCTCTACCAGTAACTTCAGATGAAAAAAAGTGGGGGGTGGGGAAGAGAGAAGGAGAGATCAGTTGGATTTTTATGGATCTCCTTTGTAAAAGCGCAGCAGCGTTTCCTCTTTCGTTACAGAACGAGTTTGTGCTCTTGTGCTCAGATCTGGAGACTCTCTCCCACTCCTTCAGGAGAAACGGCTGAACCTGCCGAAGCAGGAAGTTCTGAGTGCGTCCTGCGAGTTTCACTCCATGTTTGTGTGTCCGTGTCAGGCAATGTGTAACCAGCAGGAAGCGCTTATCTGTTGACCTACATAGTGCTCTCTTCCCTCTCAGAGCAAAAAAAAAAAAAAAAAAAGCAAAAAACGCAGGCCTGTTTTGCACAACAGAGGAGAAGCAGAAGAAGGACGACAAAGGGCAACGCGGCGCAGCGGCGGCAGAGCCACCTGTGGCCGCGATGAATGTGCAAGAGGGCTAAACAAAGGGTTCAGTCATCATACAGCTTTTAAACGGATCCAGGTATCGAATGTCAAACGGAAAAATACCAAGCAGCCGGGACTGCGACTGTAACATTTAATGATTATGAGTAAGAGGTCACGAGATAGCGAGTTCACAAGATGAAAAAATACATTTTTTATTTTTTTTTAAGCCATGTTTTGGGGTAAACAAAGACTCTGTCAGTCACGTTTCAACGACAGCGCAGAATTGTTTTTGGTCCGGACCAAATCCAGGGTCCCGAAGACTTCACAAAGAAGAGAAAAGTAGAGTTTGAAGTAAAAGAGATAGTTTTAAATTTGCAAAAAGCACACATGCAGGCAAAATTTCTTGTCATTTTCTTTTCAAGTAGATTACCCAAAACATAAGATTTCAATTACATATAAAAATAAATAAAAATAAAAATCTCACTAGTTTAGGAAACTATATCTACAAATACTTTCAGGAAGACAAAAAGAAGGTCTCTGACTTTTACATTATTTAAACAGAAGCTGCAGTTTGACTCAGTGGGATGTAGGTCAACGTTTCCTCAAACAACGACAAGAAAAAAAATGTTATTTAGCAAAGCTTAAGAAATTTCTTTACACAATCTGCTTTTGAGTAAAAGGTGGTTAACCTTTGAGGTAACACCTACTGCGGAAATAATATGAATGCAAAAAAGGGATTTTATGTTGAACCTTAAATTTTTCGTTTGAAGATTTTTTTCCCCCCCTTTATTATTTTTCCACGGCTAGTGTTGGGTAATAAAATGACCTCCGTATTTGAATACGGAACAAATTAAAGCATGCTTTAGCAATCCGCATGAGAGACAACATGTGGTTCACTAGGAAGTACATGAGCTTCGCATAAAACCACAAAAACAAACAATCACAGGGGAGACGTCGGCCATTTCCCAGAAGAATCGATGCTAATATTAGTAGCATGGTCTGGTGGTTCAAAAAAAAGAATGTCCTTCAGATTTTCTCTGATCAAATATAAGCCAATTTCAGATTTCTACCACAAACGGGTCCAGCAACACAACAAGCCTTCCAATAGGTTAAGTTGAACATTTTTGAAACACATTCTCATCAGTTGAGTTTCTCCATTTTAATTTACTTTATTGTTATTTTTATTTATTTATTTTGGATCAAGACATGTCTTATCTTGTAATTTTGGGGTGCACCAATAAATTGGCCCCAATTTCTTTCATTTTGGACGATCGGCCCAAATCGACCCAACGTTCCTCTGCAGCGGTCTGGAAATCAGCTGCCGTCTGTTTGCTCTGCTGACCCGACGGCCTCTGCCCTCCGTGAGCTGCGCTGGCCGACGACGGTCGGCCAACTGCTGCTCACCTTCGCGGCTCTGTCTCTACATTGAGCAACTTTCAAACAAGTTACCAAACACCTTCTTACACTTTGTGTAAGGCAACAGGCAGACGTTTATTGCTGACCTGGAGGTTTTTCAAACTGATAAGGACTTCTTCAATATGTTTTAAACAAGTATTGATGATCATTATATGAACAGAACAACTCAAGATCTCAAGAAATAACTATTATTATCATCCCCTACTCCAAAAAAGCTATAGATAGATAGATAGATAGATAGATAGATAGATAGATAGATAGATAGATAGATAGATAGATAGATAGATAGATAGATAGATAGATAGATAGATAGATAGATAGATAGATAGATAGATAGATAGATAGATAGATAGATAGATAGATAGATAGATAGATAGATAGATAGATAGATAGATAGATAGATAGATAGATAGATAGATAGATAGATAGATAGATAGATAGATAGATAGATAGATAGATAGATAGATAGATAGATAGATAGATAGATAATCATGTCCAGACATGTTCTTACATCGCCAGTCCCTGTTGCCTTCCACTGCAGATCAGCTGGCTGAAACGCCCTTTTCTCTCCTTTAACAGAAGGTCAGATTCAGCAGTTTGGAAATGTTTGTGTGAGAAACTAACGAAGCGTCACGGATCACCTCTATGAAGAGGTGACGACGCTCAAAGCACTTTGCTTAAACATGGTGGCCGCTGGAGCGTCAGAACGTCTGATATAACGTGCTGAGCAGATTATAAACACAGGAAGTAAAGGCAGCTGCACTCCATGAAATACAAAATAATAATAATAACTGCAGTGCTGTGAGCTATGGCTGCTCAAAGTACAGATCAGAGTGAAAAATTTATGCGTCCGGAAAAACTTTGTTCCGGACGCATATACATGCATAAGTCTTTCCGTCTTTGTCTCCCAGATTGTTTTTTTGTTATGCAATCTGAGCTCGTGGTCCTTACCTCCCAGCAGGCGAGGGGACAGGTGAGACGGCAAGGACCCTATGAACAGCCGATGCGCCTCCGGGGCCAGGGGCCCCTCGTCCCCGTCTGGGCCGTCCAGACCCTGATGGTGTGACCCCGACCTTCTGCCGGCCGGGATCCTCATCCCGGGGTTGGCGGGCCCTCCGCCCGTGTACCGGATCAGCGGGCCGTCGGGTCCGTTCGTGTACCTGAACCCCGCGAACCCGTCCGCCGAGGCTGAGTTTCCAGACGGGAGGTCTGAGCTGGAGTAAGCCCGAGTTCTGCTGTCGAAAGCAGAACTGCTCTGCTTGGCCCCCATTGCCGGTCTCTTTCACTGGTTTTGCTGCTGCTGTTGCTGTTTTGCGCTGGGAAAACTTGGCGTGTTTCAGCCGCGACACATGTTGACGGTGAGTTCAGAAGAGCTGACACTAACAAAGGAAACAAGAGACACGCTGGAGCAGGGCGAGACCGTCGAGGTGATCCAACATGTCAGGAGTTTTTGGTGTGTTTTTCTGTTGTTCCTGCTGCGCGCTCCGTGCGTAAAGCGCTCGCTCCCTGCGAACCTAAACTTGATATTCAATTGTTCTGTTTTTCTCCTCCGTTAGCGGAGCCCTTCCCCTTTTCTTTTTTTTTCAACAAAGAAGAAATGAAGACGGAAAGAGAAAAGCTCCAATGAGCCCCACGTCTCCACTTCCCTGCGCCGCAGCCGAACGCAAGCGCGCAAATGTTTTGCGCAAAGCTCGTCCTGGTGCAAGTTTGTTTTGGAGCTTAAACTGCGGCCGTCGGGAAGGAAAAATAAATGCAGGGATTTGCCCTGCCTCCTCCTTCTCCTCCTCCTTCTGTGGCGGGGCGCTCAAGTCAAGCAGACGCATAGAAGTCACGTAAACGAGGCGTGCCTTTCAAAATAAAAGCGCTACGTGTAGAAACGTGAAGAGAAGCGAAAGCTTGTCCTCCGCTGAGAACGTTCTCTCTGGAGTTTTGAACCACTGCAGTTCCTCCAGATCTTAACATTTAGTGAGCTAAATATTTAGCCTCAAATTAAATTTAGTCTAGTTTAAACAGCTTTGCTTCAAACTAAACTTAGTTTAGCAAGCAAGCAAAATAAATAAATAAATAAATAAATAAATAATAATAATAGCTTGCTGACTAAATATTTTCAAGCTAAGTTGGAGAATGAATACCTACCCTGTTGGCTAAATATATATATTTTTAACTATTTGGAAATAAGTTGCAAACTAGATATTTAATTTGAAGCTGTGACTTGCTGGCTAAATATTGAATTTGGAGTGAGATATTTAGTTTGCAAACTAAATATTTAGCTCGCTACTTAAATATCATTTTGAGACTGTGACGTTTACAAATGCATTAGAAACACGATGACGTTCTGATTTAAAAAAATAAAATGAAACATTGCCTGTAACTACACCCTGCAATGCTGCAAAGATGGTTGGATGCCATTCAATGAAGCATGACAACTTGCACACAAGAAAAAAAAAACCTGTAAAAACCGTAGGAAAGTAATGGAAATTGGAACTCTTGACAACCTTTATGCCTTTACTTTGAAAGCCAACCTTTACGTCCGGTGACTCCTCCAGCTTGACGCGGCTCCGCCAGGATGCACGTCAGGTGCCACGTGACGTCAGCTCCAATAACATTAGCAGAGCAGTAGATCGAGGGTCCACAACTGGAACCTGAAAAGTCCCTCCATATCCGCTTTGGCCCCAAAAACACTCAGACGCTCTCAGTCTCTCTCAGTTCACACCGTTTATTGACCAAAGTCACACACGTCAGAGGACAAAGGATATACTGCATGGAAAACATTCAAACAGCCAAATCATGATGATGATGATAGTAGTAATAAAACATTTAGGACTCAAAGTACCTTGGCAGAGGAGCCATTAGTCCTTTGCATTGCCCTAGAAAGAGAAAGGAAGTCTTGCAGTGCTATGGAAGGCCAGAAGGGTCAAAAACGCATAACTTTTCATGTGACTCATACTTTAAAAATGTGTTGTTTGCGCGAAGCGACGTGTTTGCGCATTGTCTTGTGCATTAAGCACACGTCAACGACATTTGCCTTCAACCAACCAGTCAAGAAACATCACTGACTTTGGATAGACCAAAGAAACGAGGGACATTCAGGAGCTGCGAGCTTTTGCTTTAATGAATTTCGGAAACAACATGTTGTAATTTTAAGCTCATTTTACGGTGTTATGTATAATCTTTCGTGTAGGAAACTATGACGCACCATAGTGCGTCATAGTTGCTAATGTGATCCTCAACTCCTGCATGTCAGACGTGACTAACTTGCTTCAATCACGACTCCATGTCCAAACCTGACCTGCTGGATGAGTTAGGGACTTTTAAGAAATTTGTACAAACAAAGATCATTTATGGAAACTCTGGAAAGCTCAAAAACCTTGCAGGTGATGCACACTGTCAATCTATTGTTATTATGGTTGGGCATGCCAGATTTTCTGTAGTTTACGCCACCTCCTAAATCCAGTAAATGACGTAGAAACATTGAAGACACATGAAAGTCACAAGTTTTTGGCCTGATAGCGTTCCATACAAAACGGGTGGCCAACAGTATCTAGTTACCCTTTGCTCCCATGCTGTCCAGGGGTGTGCGGGTGTGTCCTCTGTAAACCTATTCTGAACAACCCCTAAATGACACAACAGATTGAAAAAATTTCATGAAAAAGAGTGGGAAGAGCTTTACAAGGGTTATCTCTCCAGGTGGTGCCCAGGAAGAGAGGCACACCTCGGACCAACAGGAAGACTACAACATTCAAGAGGCTGGGTGTCGCATGGCAACAAGACACCCAAATAAGGAAGGGTTAAAGCTGCAGCACGGCTTTTATTGTGACAGTCATAAGAAAGCAACAGTGGTCTAAAAGATCTTCAACTTGTAACTGATTTTCGATGCACAGCTTTACGAACATTAACAAACACTTTAAAATGATCCATGCTACTGGTAAAAGCTGTAGAGTTTTCTAATCCACACAAAGGAGCGATTGCATCGAGGGAATCACCTTAACCTACATGACTGCGTTTATGTTAGATGTTGCTAGCGTGAATCTGTGTCACGACTAACTGCACGTTATTTCCTCACTTCCCTTTCTCTTTCCTGCACCTGCTAGACCTTTGCTTTGCCCTAGAAAGAGAAACAGGGGGGAAAACTGTCAGTTTTCCCCCCTGTTGTTGGTTATTTGTGCGTCGTTTATGTCAGACTGGCTGAAAAAGTTAGCAATCTCCCACATTCGCCTCCACAGGTCGAGGTTGGCGTGGAGGCTGGGGTGCATATTGCTGTAACGTCTGAATGTTTTTCTGCATAACAAAGCTGATATAATATTGCTGTGATGTGGAACTTTAACTAACCGGACTGTGAATGATTATAACTTGTACATGGGTACAGCTCACATAACTCCAAAGCATAAGAGTGATGTGTATATATGTTTATGTATATATATTTGTATTTGTACTTGGTTGTGTAACCTAATTAGGATCTTTTTTAAACTTATGTCCTCATAAAACAAACTTATGTTCCTATAAGTCTTTGTTCACATAAGTCTCCATAACTCCAAAACAAGACTGATGGCGACCAATGTCCCCTCAAGTCCCCATAAGTCTTTGTTTCCATAAACCCAAAAAGGACTCAAGGGGACCAATGTTGCCAAAAGTTTTTAGGGAGTTACATGTGGGGTGGGCCCCCTTTTTTAGAGTTAGGAGTTAGGTTTAGAGGTATGGTGTGAATCCAGTTTTGGTTGGGGCTAGCGTTGCAAATATACTGGTAATTGTCAGGGTAAGAGTTGTTGGTAAGGCTAGGCATAGATGTCATCATACTAAAACGAATGGAAGTCAATACAAAGTCCTAATGTGTGAAAATGCAAACTTCTGTGTGTCTTTTAGAAAAGGACGGGGTCGGGGAGGTCAACAAAGTGCAGTCTTTGGAAAGCAAAGCCACTGAAACATTCAAGAACAAGGTGGTGATAGTTCAGCATGTCAACTATAAGTTTGCAAGACTGTGTGCTGTTAAGTGAGCGAAGGTATCAAGGCCCAAGTCTTCAGGAGCAGTCATGCCCGGGCTCGGGGGTCCTCTCGGCGGGTCGTCACTGCTGGCTGACCCCCATCTGCTGGTGGTCGGACCCAGGCTCCCCCTCCATGTCTGCATGGTAGTGCTCAAAGCTGTCATCTTCAATGTCTGGAAGACCTAGCAGCTAAAAGACCAACAAGAGGGGAAGTGTTAGCAGTAGGGATCAGCCAGTATGAGAAATTCATATAAGTAATATAAAGTTTGATGATAAACAATGTTTGAATGTGCAGAAAGCTTTTTTTCTTCTTTTTTTTACCAAGACTGTTTTTTGTTTCTTTGGAGCAGATAACATTGGCAGGACATTTGTTTTTACTTCCACTTGTAGTAATGATAGAGTACAAAGTTTGGCATTTGTAAATACCAACAATAAACAGACAGGGTAAAAAAAAACAAACATTAACATTGATGTATTTTGATATTGTAGTCAAGATGTAAGAACGGTGTTTGGTACTGGGTCTTTTGAATTTTGCCATTTTAGTCTCTTTTTGCCTGATTCAAAAACTTTATCCACAGATGGCAAATCTTTAACAAGAGAAAATGACACTTGAAGGCCTCATCCATGAATATCCCAAATGCTCCGATGTCTCGGTTGCGGACAAGAATGCCAATAGCATCACTCTTTCCGAATATACAGGCCCAAAATGTAAACATAGTTTAGCATCTGGTACAAATATTAGCTTTGTTTAAATCTAGATAGGTAATTTAGAATATAACTATCTTGTCTCTATAAAACAGTAACTATGAAGCTACGTCAGACTGAGGATCACCTTAATTTAGCTTAGCATCAAATTATTATGAGGTAAAAAGATGACAAGATTTGACTGGGCTTTTAAAACAGCTGTCTAAAATGCTCCTAAAGCCACTCCAAAACTATTATTATGCTTTTTTAACTACTTTTAAAACAGTTTTTAAGAGACTTTACCCAAAACTCAGTGCAAGGACTGCCACCACCAACCCTAGAGGCTTATTTGAAGTATCATAATCAGCCGACGTCTTCCCTATTGAAGAGTGTTGCTTTTTAAGAATGTGTTATTCAGTCCAGTCTGGTATGTTTGCAGGTGTGGCTTCCTGATGTCTTAAGATATTATGTGTTTGGCAGCTTTCAAGGACATTGCGTTTTCTTCTAACCTCTAAATTGCAGGAAGTGATAAGGTGGCGGGTGATTATTGGATGGAATGAGATCATAACACATTCAGAAGTGTTTACCAGCTTACTTTTATATTTACCCTGCACATTCAAAACAGTCAAAACTCAAAGTCTTATTCTACCCTCGGCCATAGCAATAAACAATAGGACACACAGGCGTTGAAAACATTTGAAAGACGGTTGATTTAAAGCCACCAACAAGTTCCTAAAAGAGTTTCTCGAGTTTAGTTCAGCAGGGTGTCCTTTATGGGCAGAGAGAACAGAATGTATCAAGTGTGTAATGGACTTGAACCCAGTGAACAGAAGTTACTTTGCTGTGACCGTGTGCTAGGAAGCAAACTGACACGGCGAGCTGCATGCTTTTAGTTTCCTTACAGGCCTGAAGGACGTGAAGACTTTTTCCAACACCTCCAGCAGAGTCTTTTTCCCGCAGGAGGAGATGTAGTCCTGGGCCAGCTGCAGAAATGGAAGGCAGTCCTCGCTCTCGCTCCAAACATGCTGCGCACACATGCAAACTCTAGTTAACATATTTTCAACCAAGTGCTGGCAAAGGAAATAGAGACTTTGAAGACACAATTATTGTTCTGAAAGCAACAAAATCAGAGGCACAAAAAATAAAAATATGAGGGAAATATTTAATTGAAACAAAAAGGAGGGATATTCAATGCAGTGTTATTTAATAAAATACATTCTTAGGGTAAAACCATTTAACAATCTTATGAATCTGTAATTATAGCACTTTTGAAAAATTAGCAGCATCTGATAGTATTAAGAAATGCACCATTACCTCATGACAACTCCCCACTCCTTTGTTGATTTTATGCAAAAAGAAGGATCTGCTTTACTTTGTGGTTTCATTTACTTTTTTCAGGATTAAAGCCAACTTTGATCATGCTTGTAGAAATCTACAAGTTTCCCCTTGCCCCCTTAATCTATTTACAGTGGATTTTAAAAGCATTAAAACACCTTTGAAACATTTTGTCACATAAAAATCACAAACTTGAATACATTTTATTCAGATTTGATGCTGTTGAGCAACAAAGTTGTGCAGAGCTGTGAAGTGAAGCGCAAAGAATTCCAGGTTTCAATTTTCTTTTCAAGAGTAAAAATCTAAGAAGTGTGAAAATGGTACTCTTCACACCACTAAATGAAATCTAGTGAAGAATTGCCTGTCAGATAAATTTATGTGTGTTACGCGCAGATTTGAGAAGAAATTTACAGCAGGGCTGAAAACATGCATTTTATGTTTGTTTCTAGTAGGGATCACAAGAAACACGTAGAGGAAGGAGCTCAGATCAGACGAAACCAAAATGTAACTTTCTGGCCCACCTGGACCAGGTCCGAGTTGATGGGAAGCTGAGTGAAACGTAGCATAGAGCACAATCCTGGGAAGAAACTTGTTAAAGGCAGAGAGAGAATTAAGACTGGGACAGAAGTTCACCTTCCAGAACATATATTTTGCACTGAAAAAAAATTAAAATAAATAAATAAGTTGCTTTCTAGATGTGCCGCAATGGACGGCGACCGAGTCTGCTTATTGAGATACGTGACCTCTTTCAATAAACACAATGAATCAGCGCAGACTAGAGATTGGCTGATATCAGAGCCGAGACGCTCCTGAAGAAGTTGGTCAAGGCTTTGATGGAAACGGCTGCGTGTGATGGACCGCTGCAGCTGTAACGCTTTGTGTGCTGAACGCCCATTCAGTCAGAGTCTAAAGGTCACGCTGTTAGGTTATGTATTAGTCAACGGCATTATTGATGTCCAGTCAAGCTTGAGGTAGGAACTGTGCCGCAGGTTACCTCGTACTGAAAACGATGACGTCTGAAGTCTTGTTTTAGGCTTATCTGATTTAGGTCAGTAGGGAGACCTGACATGTTCTTCTGGAAAATGATTTTTAATCATAGATTAGATATACATATGCTTTTTTTAATGTATATATATATAAAACCCAAATGCTTCAACTTGTATCTAACAACTGTTATCATTTGTTAAATTAAAACAAAGCATATTGTAATTTGTGACTGTGTATTACTTATTATCTGACTTTTTGGTAATGTTTATCTCTGATGATAGAGCTCAATAATTAAACAAAATATCTATTACGACATATTAGGAGGAGGTTAAAGAGCTGGAGGCAGCAGCTCGCTGTTATCAAAGTCCCTCTAGGTCATCAAACTTTCCTTATATTTATGGATCACAAATCCATAAATATACGGATTTATATATTTCAGAATAAGAGCAAGCCTAGATCAGAGTTAGGTTTAGTTATCATTTGATAAAGTTTTTGACGCAGACTTTATAAACCAGAGACGTTTGAATAATAAGATGGTGTTTATGGTGTAATCTCCATAGGTAGTACTAAAAATAGCATTTGAAAATAATTTACGACCTTCTCAGTCATGAATAAGAAAATTATAGTTGCTATTTTTGTATGCGTCTACAAATATTTTTAAACATTCACCTCTTTTCATGAGCTCAAAGTTTCTAAGGTTGAGACAGGGGGCAGATGCCCAGGGCGGCACGAGCTGCCAAAGCAGGAAGCAGTTTTGCAGTTGGCCTGTGTTTTGCTTGACATGTGATTACTGCACGCAGGTTGGTATGTTAGGACTTTTTATAACACTTGTGCAAATCAGTTTGGGTTTCTTGAAGTGCAATTATGTAAAATGCCTCATTAAACGATATTTGGTAGTTGTTTATGAAATTGAGTCTTGGCCAAAATGCCATTCTGCTACATACGATCACATAAATGTTTGACTAATGGTCCAGTCTGCTTTATTTGAACTCCGTGGCATATGGTGTAATTGTGAATCTCTCCACATCAAATAGTAAGAGAATATGGAGTGCAGCCTGTAGTGTCTGAGGCTGCGCAGCAGAGAACTCTGAATGTCTGACCGTGCATGTAGCCGGAGATGAGTACATGAGAGGACGCGCTGGCAAAGACATCTGACATGGATTAGATTACAGAGCAGGAGGAAGCTGTGAGCAGGGAGGGAGGACATGAGGGCCAGAGAGCAAAGTGGTTCTGTTGAGAGGCAACAGATCGCAGAAAGAAGCCGCTGTTGTCTTGATTGCTCGCTTTGATTAGAATCTGCTTCCTAAACGAGAGCACGGCCACAGGCGCAGGGACTCGGCTAAGTTTCATCAGCAGCTATCTAAACACCCCACTGTGGCGCTGCTCCGCCGTCCAGACGAGGCGTGCAAACACAACACAGGCACGGTCCGTGTGACATAATGCGTTATTGACTGAACAGACTCCTGGGTCATCTCCATCTGCTCCCCCACCCTATTGGCCCGTGTCACTGAGCGGTGGGGGGAGGAGGCGGAGGATCGGGCTTCTGGGACTTTTGAACTCATAACTCCAGCACTGCATCACATGGCTGCAGGACATGCAGCTCGCTCTGAGGAAACAGTATGAGGCTGTGCTGCATCCACCATTAGCATGTCCAGTTTAGCTGACCAGGCTGAATTTTGAAGGCCGATTCCACCATTAAGGCCTTTACATGTGTGCTATGGGAAAAGCAAAAATTATTATGGTTGTAGAAGGTAGAATCATTTGGTTGCAGTTTGTAGATGAACAAATCTGCAGTTATTATCCCCAGCATAATAAGACTTTTACTGTTTATTTTTATTTTTATCATTTGGAACTATTAGAAATGTTTTTGCTGCAAACAGGAAGGGTGCAAACATTGATCAAGCATTTGAAGGCCAGTATTGATTAGAAGTGTTATTTGACAAAGGCCAATTTAGCGTTTCGGCCAGTTTTTATTATCATTCTTCACATCAAATTAATGCTAATCTGAATGACTCTGAAAGAAAATAAATAGACAGACAGACAGATTTTCTTAAATCCATAACTTGAACCCAAAGTAATAATAAATCAACTGTGAATAAAATCCAACTATTGTGTTACGGAGATATTCATTCGTCTTATCGTCTAGAAATGACTTGAACAAAATTATTTCATACCAAATTGCAGTTTTCTGGAGATTGGGATTTTAGCAGATACCGAAAACAGAGACGGTCGGTCATGGAGGTAGATATAAGTGCACAGATTGGTTCCACATGTCAGTGTTGGGATGATTGCAGGTCGTCCAAAATTAAGAAAATCGGAGCCGACCAATTGGGCGGCCAGTTGACTGATCCGTCTTACCCAATCGAACGCTAAATGTAATCGAAATTTGCCATATTACAGTAATTCGCAGCATCATTAGACTGAACATTTTGGAACAACAAACAGTTCCAGAATATGATGCAAGCCAATATCAAACGATTCCTGACTACAGTTATGTAGGCTGGAAAATGCGAACGCAAAAGAGGACAGACTAAAGTACAGAGTGAATAGATTAAAGGAAGAACTGATACAATATACATATAAAAATTAGAGAATTTAAAACAACAGACAGAGACTAATTAAATGGAATGGATTCACAATATATTTTTAGAAAAAAAAGTGATATAAAAGAGTTCGCTCTTTTTGTTTACAATTTGAAAAACTGAGATTTGATCAGACACTCATAATATCAACCAACCAACAACATGTAGTAACTACAAATCCCCGTCAATGCATGGAAAACACTTATAATACTGATATAAATCAGTGGCGCATCAATATAGAGGCTGGGATACAATTGCATTCCTGTTCAGAAACTGACAGCGTTTAGCCGGGTTTCAAATCAGCCCTCTGGTGTGTGGAGCGACCCCCTGCTTTTCACATTCAGCAAAGTTGTAAAGGTGCAGAAGGTTCATGGAACCTTTATTTGTAGCAGATACGCTAAAGATAAAAAAAATCTTTTTCTTTAAATTGATAATGCTAAGATTTAAATACTGAAGTAGCATCACACGCTACCGTCCAGTGCAGAACCCAAGATGGTGACTTCTTCCTTTTAAAAGGGCTGAAAAAATAAAACGTTAGCGCTCCAGCCACCCCCGAGGCGATGCCGCCCTGAATAGAGAGCCATGCTGAAAATAATTAATAGCAAAAAAAAAAAAAAAAAACAACAACAAAAAAAAACAAGAGGAGGGATAATATTAAACACATTTGAGAGAAGAGGTGTGAAGGCAGACTGAAATGACATCATACTGCTCACCCTCCCCTCTTATCCCGGTTCCATCACCACCTTTACCCAGCCCATATACTCCTTCAAGCGCGTGCACGCGCGCGCACTCACACACACATGTACACACAGTGGATAGGTTAAGTTAAGGCCCTGCAGAAGCCCACTTACAAATGTGTCGGTGCCGCCGGGACACAGCACATAGAACGAGACGCCGGGCTCTGCGTAGAAGTCCAGCCGCCGCTCGTCGTTTTCCTCGGCGAAGATCAAGTCGAACGGGTTCCCGGTGCACCACTTCTCCGCCGCCTCCACCAGATGCTTGAACTCCATCCTCTGCTGCCCTGTCTGCCGTGTGTCCCTGGCTCCGGAGATCGATTCCCCCCCCCCCCCGCGCGCCCCCCCGTGCCCACCCTTTGGCCGTCGCGTCGATGATGCTCAAGACGCAAAGAACAGCAGCATCAGCATCAGCAGCAGCAGCAGCAGCAGCCTCCGCTATAGCGCATCTCTTCTGTGCGGCACCGGCGGCGAACAGCGGCGGGGTGGAGACGGCGGCTGCAGCTGCTGCTCTGCACGGTGGAGCCGACCGATGGGGTTGATGTTCATCCGCCTCTCAGAGCCCCATTCCTCTCTTCTTCCTCACTGCGTTATGAAATCAGGCCGTCGCACATATGCATACGCAGGAGGGACTCTGGGATAAAAAAAAAAGAAGAAAAGAGAGAGAGACAGAGAGAGACAGAGAGAGAGAGAGAGAGAGGGAGGCGATGAACGGCCCAGCCCGTCCACTGCAATCTGTCGACTACATTAGTGAGTTAGGCTCACATAACCTGCTGACGCCGCGTGAAACACGGGATCGTATATAAAAAACATAAAAGATGACGTCACTGTGGCCCCCCCACTCCCCTCCCCATTTCCTTTTCTTTCTTTATTTGTTTGATGGATGGATGGATGGATGGATGGATGGATGGATGGATGGATGGATGGATGGATGGATGGATGGATGATGGATGGATGGATGGATGGATGGATGGATGGATGGATGGATGGATGGATGGATGGATGTCTCATTGACAATATTCACCCCCAATGTTTGCAAGTAACTTGTCGCTACACTTGACAACTTTTAAGAGAAACTCAACCAGCATTGGTGGCTTTTGATGAACCTGTTGGGTTAATTGATCCCTCTAAATCGTTCTTAGTTGTTGCTAAGTTGGCAACTTTATTGCGACTCTGAAAGACAAAATATGGATTCGCCCAATATGGGCTTTTCAAAATCGGTGACCAGTTAGAAAACGTCAATTTGTGTGCCCCTATCGTTAAAACTTTTACAGTGTATTGAAAAAAGCCTTTTCGTACCCCTTGAATTTTTTCACTTCTTTTTACGCTGTGGCCTTTATTAGTTGCATGCAATGGAGCAACAATTTCTGCATAGCTGGAAACAAGTCAAATAAAAATCCAATGTTTATGCAACTGATTTTCATTTTAGTAGCTTTGAATCAAATCCAGTGCAACTTACCACAAGTGTCCTGTAGGTACTGATTAGAGTCTGAGAGCCATTTAAGTCCAGCTGATCAGGAACAGAGAGTTTTTATTGGAGAACATTAGTGACTTAATAGCATTGTGGAATAACAACGACCTTATCAACACATCCAAAGCACTGAGTGCAAGTTTGCTGCACTTCATATAGGAGATAAATCACACATTGCCCAGCGTACACTGCACTCACATTGAAACATAGTAGTGGGGGCGTCATACTGTCCTCACTACAGTATGGTCCACGCTTGTACATTTGATTTTTTCTCCAACAGGGGCCCGGAGGAGAAGAGAACGGAGGTGAAATATGTCAAAGTTTGAGACGGAAGTGGAGTTTCACCTTTCAGCAGGAAACTGGTGCCAAACAAACTTCTGGAGTTAAAATGCAAGGATTTTAGGAGATGGGGGGCCAAACTGTGGCCCGTGGGTCATTTGTTCCTCTTGAAATGATTTTGTTCGGCCCCAGACCGCAGGTGGAACCATGACTTTACCAACAAAATAGGAAACAATTGACGACACAAAATATTTTAAACTGGGCAACAGTCCAAAGTTTTTTTTTAAAATGTTTTGGACCTATGTTGAATTATAGATTTTGTAAATATTTTGCTTATTGCCAAGTAGTCAAAACTAAAAAACAAACAAAAAAGTGTTTTTTTTTTTTTATTAAATGAATGTTGCAGCTTTTGAGCAGTTTAAAATTGCCTCTTTTGGACCTCATGGCTAACAGCTTGGACACTGTTGGTTTAGAAGATCAAAATATGTCCCGGTGTTAGAATGGCCCAGTCAAAGCACAGACCTAAATCGTCTGAAAATGTTTATGTTTCCAGATTCCCTCCATCCACTTTGACTGACGTTAGGCCACTTCGCAATCATGCAGTACCTTGTGTTGGTTTAATCCCAAAAAATACACAAGATTTTCTATGTGACTGGACAGAAATGCAGCCCACCACTAAACACTGATCCACTGGCAGCAAACAGGATTTCTCAGTTTCTTAGAAGTAGACAGATGCAGACAAAAGCACTTTAACTGGACGCTGGGAACCACTGCTGGAGGAAAATGCTCTATTTCCAGGAATCCAGACGCTTCCAGTCCCGCCCTGCTCCCCGGAGTGCTAGCCACCAGATGGCGGAGAGGAACAACTGAAAAGTCCTTGTTCTAACAAGGTGGACATATTTCAGTTCAAGTCTCATCGCAGTGCTTTTGCCAAAGTAAAAGTCTTTTGGGTTTCATCCTGAAGAAGAAACTCTTGTGTGTGTATATATATATATATATATATATATATATATATATATATATATATATATATATATATATATTATATAATATATATATATATATATATATATATATATATATATGTATATATATATATATATATATATATATGCTTATCTTCTCTATGTTATTCGTCCAAACTCTGTCACAAGTTTTAATAACATTAAAATAAAAATAAGACAATATCAAAGAAAAATCCACAAAAAGTTTGATATTTCAAATCTGAACAATAACAAATATTGATATTGGCATCAATATGTGTACTGATATTAGTGACAATATGCACCAATGGTCATGTATTTGTTTGTTAGTGAACCAATACCAAAATGTGCAGCGTCTCACACCTAATACATGGTGACAGCAGCATCATGCTGGGGGATATATTGACAACGGTGGTCACAACATTACACAATAGAGAGAATTGAAATGGTAGGTGAAGCATAATTTTTAAAAGACACTTGTTTTAAGTATCTTTTGATGTCACACCAGGCCCCCCTAAAATTCACTGTAATATAATTTTAATTAATTAATAACTGAGTTATTTTAAAGCTGCAACATATGGGACATTTAATGCAAATGTCCTGAAATTCTTCCACACACACACACATAAAAAAAAAACGCCGCCATATTTGGCAGCATTTTTTTTTTCCAAATTCACCACTTGAAATGTTTTCATTCGAAAACAAACGAGGCTTCCGCTTCACTGAGGCTCTTATTTTGAAGGCCCCAAACCGGAAACACTCCCATTGACCAGCGTAGGTAACTTTCTTCTCCTCTGCAGTTCGTTCGCGAGCCGGAGCCATGGTCTCTCGCAGGCTGCCTGTGGACGTCGCCGCGGCTGGACGCGGCGCTCTGCGGATCCCGCGGTCGCCCCGCCTCCCGTCCGCACAGTAGACCCCGCGAGCCCCGTAGGGAGCGATGCAGGCCGCCGAGCGCTCTGCGTGAGGGCTGAACAAGGGCGGACCGCCGCCAGACGCTCATTGTCTGCGCTTGGAGACCCTCGCTTCTTCAAACACACACACACACACACATACACACACACATACAAACATTTATTACTTTTGTAGATATTCCCCGAGGATGGAGCGCAATGGGAATATCTGCGAGGACGATCCTCTGTGCGCTGAGGAGGAGGAAGAAGTCGATCCCAGGATCCAGGTGAGAGATGGGAAAGTTTTTGCTGGAACATTCTTGTGAATAATTTATTGATTTATTTATTATTCGCTGAATCCATGTTTCTCTTTGGACACACAGTTGGTAACTTGACTCAACAGAAGCGTCGCCTCCATTCTGATTCTAACGGTCTTTGTCCCTGCGTGTCTTCTTGTAAACAGGGAGAGCTGGAGAAGCTGAACCAGTCCACGGATGACATCAACCGGCTGGAGAGCGAGCTGGAGGTAGGAAACACCACAGTAAAAGGAAGACATCAGCACTGGGTCTCTCCTGCCGGGGCAACAACAGCGCAGCCCTCCAGCTTGAGATGTTTTCATTTAAACCCAGGAGCTTCAGGTCGTTCTGAAGACTTTCCTCCCTCGTTTTGCCACTTTAAAACCAGAAACACCAGCACGTCCACGTCCTTCCTGTATAGTTAAGTGGAAGGAAAACAACAGCTGGGTTTCAAAACATAAAACAAATAATGTAGGCTATTAGATCTTCTGTGTCAATATTTAGTTTTAGGGTCGTTATAGCATGTTTGTGCTTTGATTTGAAACCTTCTGTTGCAGCTTGGGCTTTAAGCATTTAGGGCTGTAGTCCAGCTTCCAGTTTTCCTGTTTTCAAACACATCATGATTCTGCCACCACCGTGTTCCACAGTGGGAATGATGTGTTCAGGGTCAAGCGCAGTGCTACTTTTCTCTGCATTTATAAATCAAACACGGTTTGGCTCAGTCAGTTCACTGAATTTAACAGGGGTTTTTTAAATTTAAAACATATAATGCATTTTATTTTTCATATAGTTTTGCAGTTTTACATTATTACTATGCACTGTCGTGTTGGTCTATTATAGAAAACTCCAGTAAAATGAAAAAAAAAGTTTGTGGTTTTAATATGGCAAAATCACATGAAAGCTTTTGCTAGGTGCTGGACGCTTTCCTTAGCAACTGTGTTTTGGCTTTGAAACGGTTCAAGAGCCTCAGAAAGATGGAAAATTCTGGCCTCTTTCTGTAGAAAAAAAAACACAAAAAAAACATGGAACAACTGCTTAATAGCACCTCTGTGGCAACTTAGAGACCGGCCCTTGCTCTCGCCAGTGAACTGCAACTCCCTTCCCCTGATTGTGAAGGCAGAATGAAACGCTTTTAAAGAGAAAGAAAGCTGTAAACCCTAAAAAGATCGATTGTTTGTCGACGGGATTTTTTTTTTTTTTTTATTGCTCTGGCTTGCGTTCAGATACAACCTATACATTCCAGAGCGAGGCCGCAGGTTTTCTTATCCTAAAAGTAGGCCTCTTCTGCTTCTCATTAAGAGAGGGTGGGAGTAGCCTCCTTTTTTTTTTTTTAGACTTTCTGTTTCCTGCTCTGTAATACGAAAAGAAAAGATTTTCTCTTCATTTGTAGTGCACCAAGAATCCCGTGTTTCTGAATGACGACTTGCAGCTGCGACATTTAGCGACGTCCTGAGGCCAAACGCTCAGCAGCCAGGCTGCTTCCCTGCACTGCCAGCTCATGATTAAGGAAGATGTGCTGTAGATTTACAGGATTTGGGGAGGAAAAAAAATTAAAAAAATCAGGCAGTGAAGTTAAATCCTTGCTCAAACTGTGTGCGACTCTGCTGACACAGTTATAAAGCTCTCTTTTTGCTCCCACAAGCAGAACTCTGTGTGTGTGCGTGCGTGTGTGTGTGTGTGTGTGTGTGTGTGTGTGTGTGTGTGTGTGTGTGTGTGTGTGTGTGTGTGTGTGTGTGTGTGCTACAGGGAGGATAATAAATACTAAAACCCTGGTAGAAATGTGTAAAATCAATTCATCATGTTTTTTGGACCAGAGTAGCCTCATGTTGAATAAAAATGAAAACAATCCAACCTT